GGAGGGGGCACACGCAGAAGCTGGTGACGCCGAGAGCGCTGGGCGCACGGGCACAGGCCCCGGGTCCTCCCACGCGCCTAAAGTGAACCTGCTTCTTCTGTTTGTTCTGTTCCTCGCCAGATACTGGGAGGATTTCCACAGCTGCACGGTCACAGCCCTTACGGATTGCCAGGAAGGGGCGAAAGAGATATGGGATAAACTGAGAAAAGAATCCAAAAACCTCAACATCCAAGGCAGCTTATTCGAACTCTGCGGCAGCGGCAACGGGGCGGCGGGGTCCCTGCTCCCAGCGCTCTCCGTGCTCCTGGCGTCTCTCTCGGCAGCTTTAGCGACCTGGCTTTCCTTCTGACCGCGGGGCCGGCTCCCCCCTCGCCCACCCACACTCACTCCATGCTCCCGGAAATTGAAAGGAAGATCCATTCGTTCTTTGGGGACCCTGTGATTCTCTGTGATGCTGAAAACACTCATATAGGATTGTGGGAAATCTTGATTCTCTTTGATTTCGTTTGATCTCTTGTGTTTTATTTGCCAAATGTTACCAATCAGTGAGCAAGCAAGCACAGCCAAAATCGGACCTCAGCTTTAGTCCCTCTTCACATAACAATAAGAAAATGACAAACCCACCCCATTTTAAAAATTTTTATTTTTTGGCAAAAGAATCTCAGGAATGGCCCTGGGCCACCTACTATACTAATCATGTGAATACATGACCAATGACGGGCTCCTCCTAATAGGAAAGAGGAGAGGAGAAGGCCAGGGGAATGAGTTCAGGAGAGATGACCACGAGAGAAGCATATGGTGAATAATTCACGTTCACGTCTTTCTTCCACAGTATCTTGTTTTGATCATTTCCACTGCACATTTCTCCTCCAGAACAGTGAAAGGACAGATTGTTGGCTTTGTGTTTGAAGGATCAGAGGCAGAGAGGAAAAGAGCTGGGGAACTCCCGGGTTAGAGGTAAAGGCTGCCGGAAGAAGTGCTGCTCGAGTCACTGAGAGGTTCAGCTTTACCTGCTGTTATTGATGCATCTTTCCAAGCCCAAGCCTTTCTTTCCCCTCCTCTCTTGTTTTAGCTGTTACACATACAGTAATACCCGAATATCCACCGGTGTAGATCACAAGGGGGGAGTGTTCAATGTTAACCTAAAATATAGTTTAAAAAGATTTTGACATAGAGAGCCTTGATTTTAAAAAGAGAGAGAGAGATGTAATTTAAAAAGTTTATTATAAATTAAATTCAAGCAAAAAAAGATTTGCTACAAAGTATAGAGAAGTATAAAATAAAGTTATTGTTTGAAATGGGGGTGTTGTCTGTTCCCTGTCCAAGGCCTGCTTTCTTGGCAGCGTTCTCAGAGGTCCCGGAAGGGACTCATGAAGTCAGGGGATACATTCACCCGTCCACAGGCCACTCCATCACCTGTCATCTCAAGCAGGCCCCCCTCAACTAGGACATTGCAATTTCTCAGAAATCCCGTTTACTCTAGGAAGAGAAATCCACGAAACAGCAGAGATCCTTTCTGGGTAAGGGCTTGGGGAGTGTGTGCGCTCCTCTGAGAAAGCGCGCGCGGACTGAATGCCAGTGTCCGGCCCTCAGCCCCCTTCCCTGCAGGCCTAGCCCTAACCGCGACTCGCCTCTTCCTCTGCGGTGGCCCGGGCAGCTCGCGAAGGAACCGCCATTAAGGGCTCTGACGGAGGGGCCGGGAGGCTGTGGTCACTGGCAGGGATCAGGTGAATCCTTTCATAATTAATATGACAGCTCAGCCGAAATGGCGAGGAGACAGGGCCCTATTGATCAGGCAGTAGAGCTGCTTCCACCTCTCCTATTTATAGGCCCCACGGCCTTACCTAGAAGTAAACATTCGAGAGTGAGCAGGGGCTGAGGGAACCGGGTCCAGGGCTGCGGGACTGCAGGCTGGGGGAGGGAGAACCACATGCATGTCTGAGTTCAATGAAATCGAAATCTGATTTCCTGGAGAAGATGCAGGTGGGAGGGAGCTGCGGGGTCCCCCGGAGTAGCGGGGGTTGGAGGGAGGGAGACGTGTGGAAGGAGGCGGAGGAGGCTGCGGTGGGTTCCCGCGCCCCGGAGCCTGCGGGCCGCCGCCTGGAGCTTGCGCTGGGCTCTGAAATGCAATGCGTAAACAATCGCTAGTGCGAAAGTTCATAAATCAAACCCAGTGGGTCACAACCCAATCTGCATTCTCCCCACGGATTGAATTCCAGCAACACATGTGTCCCATCGCCCGGAGCGCTGGAAGCTGCGCGGGGGGGCGGAGAACGAGGAGGAAGAGGGAGGGTCTTCTCGCGTCAATTTTGCCCGAACAGCGCGCCGCCTCCTATCGGAATCTTTCCCTCCGCAAACTGGGGAAGAGCCGGTGCGCACAACTAGGCCCCTTGTTGGCCAAAGAAACTGCACGCAGCGCCAGGAAACAGCTCCCCCGCCTCCTTCGATCCCCGATGCTCAGTCAAAACCAAAGGAGATCCACGCACCGGGAAACTCTGGTTGTTTTGATCGTTTCGTTGCAGGGATTATTTTCAGTATTTTCCGTCTAAGTATAAACAGGACTATTCTAACCCCAGCTAAACCCTGCAAATCAAGCTAAACTGTCTGAGCCTGTTTTAAATACGAATCTATTAAATGAGGGGGCGGAGAACGAGGAGGAAGAGGGAGGGTCTTCTCCCGTCAATTTTGCCCGAACAGCGCGCCGCCCATCGGAATCTTTCCCTCCGCAAACTGGGGAAGAGCCGGTGCGCACAACTAGGCCCCTTGTTGGCCAAAGAAACTGCACGCGCGGGGGGGGAGACGTCCCCGACCCTGGTGGACACCCCTTCCCTCCCAGCGCGATCTTCCCACCCAGAAATCAATCTCCTTCCACTGGAGCCTGGAGGCGAGGCTGAGGGAGGGCGCAGAGCGACGAGGGGCGGGGATTGGGAGCGCCGGCTCAGTTCCTCTCCCCACGGGGTTCTTCTCAGGGAACCCCTTCCTCTCGGCGGCAACCGCCTCCCCGGTGGGGTCGCCCCGCAGGGAGGGCGCCCCGCTGCCGCGTCCTTCCACACCCCAACTCTGCGCAGTCCCAGATCGCTCGGGGGAGCCTCGAGAGAGCTAGGCGTCCTGTCCCGGCTCCCTCGCCCTGCCCTAGGCGGGGACCACGCTCACGGGCGCTGGGAGAAAGCCCAGGATCGCTGGGCAGCCAGTCTCAGAAACGCAGTCGGAGGACGTTTCTTCTTGCGGTGATTGTTTTAGGTTATTATCGCGCCGTCTTCGGCTGTAATTTGCTGTTTAACCACGATGACATCTCCATATGTTAGTTGATGTTATTGTTTTTAAGCAGCAACGCGGTAAGCTCAGAGAAATATTAACCATGTCCCATCACTGAGATGGAGGGAGGGGGGAGGAGCAGGCACCAAAGGAAATCATCGTACCAGCCTCCGCCCTGGTGGGAGCAGTCTCCGGCTCTGCCCCCAGGGCCCTTTGAGATTGGGGAAGGGCCCCACTTTACTCCATCTTCTGCCGAGTGGATGGATTCGAAACAAATTAATTTGAGTGTAATGTTTGGTTATCCTCTGATGTTGTCCCAGAAGCCAGCTCCACAGTCCCATGAAGAACTCCAGGGCCCTTGGGAGGGGCTTACAGGGAAGGAGGAGAGGAGAGAGAAGGAAGGCGACCGGGAGGGAGAGAGACCAAGGGGGGGGGGAGGGGGGAGAGACAAATCCAGAAGCAGAGTTAGCAGAGGGAGTGAGGACGAACTTCCAGCTGGAGATGACAGAGCTGTGGACAAGAGGTGGGGGATGGGGGTGGAACTGGAACTGATTTCCATTCAGGACTCTCACAGAAGCAAATGAGCACTAGGACCACCACCTAGATTTCTCCTTCTGTGGGTCCAGAGGCCCTTTCACTCCAGCCTGAGCCTTCAGGCCACAGGGGCACTTTGGAGCTGGGCAGGCCCAGCAGAAGCTAGGGGAAATCAGGTGGATGGGCCAGAAGAGGAACCCTTCCTCGGGCCCACCTCCCCCTACACCCACCCTCCCGCCCCTCCTTCCCCCACAAACTCAATCAATTCCCAGCAGAGGTGCTTCCCTGAAGGCCTTCAACCATTCTCCCACTGCCCATGGCTGGGCCGCATGGTCCCAGAGGAGCCCATTCTCTGGAACAGTCTGCCATGTCCCTGTCCCCTGGGACCTGAGGAAAGGCTCACTGCCCCACTGACTCTTCCTCCCCAACACCCACCAAAGGAAACCCAAGCAATGCCTCTCTGGCCCCTTCTCCACCTTCAAAAATGAAGGGGGGGGTAGCTGGCAGAGGGGAACTAAAAGGGGGAGCAGTGTGGACACCAGCTTTGTGGCCCTCACAAGACAGTGGGTTCACCTGGGCCCCAAACTCCAACACCTGGAATAAATAAACTGTGTTCAGTCCCACTGGGGGCAACCTCCCCATGTCAGCCCCACAGGGCAAGGAGGCTGACATTTCTGTCCAGATGGATCCTCTGCCTGTAGAGTGATGACTCGGAGCTAGAGGATCCGGTTACCAGCTGCTAAACATGGGTAGGTTACTTAACCCCTCTATACCTCCCTTTCTTGTTCTGTGAAATGAGGTAACCATACTTACCTCATCAGGTTGTACTTGTATCAAATAAGACTCCATAGATAAAGCGCTTTCACACTGCATTCCGCTGACCTGATGTTAGATATTACTATTATTTCCTCCTGCCTCCACACAGGCTCCATATGATGGCTCTCACCGAAGTCTTTAAATAACCACTTCCGAATAACCTGGAGCAGAGAACTTCATTATGACCTTTACTACTTTGGAGCAGTTTTTCTGTACCGTCCAGCAGCTTCAGTTCCTCTTGCGACAAGCTCCACAGGCTCCACCCCGCTCTGGCCTTCTCAGAGGATGCTCTAGATAAGCTTTGAATTAAGTCAGCCACTGGGCAGTGACTGCGCCCAGACCCTGCCCGACCCCATCTGGAGCCCCATCCCAGGCCAGACCCCTGGCTTCTAATGCCTGCAACCACCATTCTGCAGTGACTGGTCCTCCCAGCCTAACCGCATTCCTCCTGGAGCTTCCTCCAGCTGCTCTTCTCCTTCCCCTCCTCGCCACTTATATTAAATTCCTCTCCCAAATTAAAAAAAAAATGGGTTTATTGTAACCAGCGAAGCAATGCAACGTTATACAGTGGGGGTGGTATTAACCCACCCTGCTCTCCTTCCACACCTTTTCCCATGCTCATAAAAACATGTGCTCATAGGGAAGGTGGGCTTTTTGTTTGTTTGTTTTTATAAAATTATGATACATATTTCTCTTCTACCAATCCTTCAAAATCAGTAGCTAAACAAATAACCCCTTCTTTTAAATCAGCAGTTCTCAACCTGTGGGTCGCGACCCCTTTGGCGGTCGAACGACCCTTTCACAGGGGTCGCCCAAGACCATCCTGCATATCAGATATTTACATTACGATTCATAACAGTAGCAACATTACAGTTATGAAGTAGCAATGAAAATAATTTTATGGTTGGGTCACAACATGAAGAACTGTATTTAAAGGGCCAGAAGGTTGAGAACCACTGTTTTAAATAGTTACACAATATTTCTCAGATGGCCATACTGCAATTTATTTAATTTTCCCCCCATTGATGGACATTTCAGTTTTTCCAGTTTTTTTTTTGGGGGGGGGAACCTAAATGTCCATCAATGGGTGAAAAATATCGTGTCCTACAAATATTGCTGTGATAAATATTTCTGTTTAAACAACATATGTACTAGTATTTCTTCAGTGGAATAGATTCCTCAAAGTTGGATTGCTGAAAAGAAAAGTACGTATATGTGCTTATTTTTTAAATGCAGGTGTGCTTTCCATTTGGAAAAAAAAATTATTGTTGGATACTTTTCCCAAAGAGTGT